TGACATCAGCTTCTCTGTCAAGGGTCGAGTTTATAATGCCTCGGTGCGCTCCATATTACTATATGGATCAGAAACCTGGCCGCTGCGCGCCTAGGACGTCAAAAGACTTTCAGTGTTTGACCATCGATGTCTTCGGAGCATTGCCCGAATCTGGTGGGAACACCGGATCAGCAATTCTGAAGTACGTCGAATGGTATTCGGGAGAAATAACTCACCCTCGATAGATGAACTGATCACACTGCATAGGTTGCGCTGGCTTGGCCACGTGTTGCGTATGCCAGTCGACCGACTTCCTCGAAGGGCTCTTTTCGCACAACCACGTGAAGGGTGGAAGAGAGTCAGAGGCGATCAAACAATGACTTGGCAGCGAAGTATGAAAGCCATTACCAGCAAACTTAGCTGCGCTGATCACTGCCGTCTTCCTGGATGGGGACCCCGAGACGGGCCACATTAATGGCTAGAGACATTATCAGACATGGCCCAGTCGCGCCCTCAGTGGCGCTCGTGCATCCAAGCTATTGCCTTCAATGTATAGCTCCTTTTCCAACCCCCTTCCTTAGCTTGACAGCACACTGACAGTGCTGGATTTGTGCACCAATTTATCATTTCCCGCCCGCAATGCGCAGCTACCTACACACCTCCCAAAATGTATAGCTCCTTTTCCAACCCCCCCTTAGCTTGACAGCACACTGACAGTGCTGGATTTGTGCACCAATTTATCATTTCCCGCCCGCAATGCGCAGCTACCTACCCAAACACCTCCCAATGATCGGTGAACGAAACCGCGGCAGCTGCAACCACTGTACGACGAGTACGCGGTTATCACCACCGACAATGATGATGATGAAGATGCGTAACCACCCTTGGGTCTTGTATGAGTGTTTCGGAGACAGAGTATAAGCCTCTATGCAGAAAGATCTCATGGGCTTAGCAAGGCGTAACTTTGTGTATTGTTAATAGGCAGCAAGCTGCATAAGGCCCATCTACCAGATAGTTGACGATCCAGTCACCAAGAAACGTTTATTTATGTGGAGAGTAGGTGTTGAAGAAGGAAATCATCATCATCATCATCATCATCATCATCATCATCATCATCATCATCATCATCATCATTGTCAGTGGTAATAACCGCGTTCTCGTCGTAATGTGTTTGTAGCTGCCGCAGTTTCGTTCACCGATGTTTTATTTTGGAGGGGGGGATAGGTACAGTGGGCTGTCAAGTGCTGGGGGGTTGGAAAAGGAGCTATACATTGAAGGCAATAGCTTGGATGCACGAGCGCCACTGAGGGCGCGACTGGGCCATGTCTGATAATGTCTCTAGCCATTAATGTGGCCCGTCTCGGGGTCCCCATCCAGGAAGACGGCAGTGATCAGCGCAGCTAAGTTTGCTGGTAATGGCTTTCATACTTCGCTGCCAAGTCATTGTTTGATCGCCTCTGACTCTCTTCCACCCTTCACGTGGTTGTGCGAAAAGAGCCCTTCGAGGAAGTCGGTCGACTGGCATACGCAACACGTGGCCAAGCCAGCGCAACCTATGCAGTGTGATCAGTTCATCTATCGAGGGTGAGTTATTTCTCCCGAATACCATTCGACGTACTTCAGAATTGCTGATCCGGTGTTCCCACCAGATTCGGGCAATGCTCCGAAGACATCGATGGTCAAACACTGAAAGTCTTTTGACGTCCTCGGCGCGCAGCGGCCACGTTTCTGAAGCGCACCGCAGCATTGTAAACTCGGCCCTTGACAGAGAAGCTGATGTCACCCCTGCGCTACATGTGACGTAGGTTTGCAAAAGCTGCTCTGGCCTTCCCAATATGGATGGAAATATCATCTTTCGCCAGACCACCGGGACTGACACAGCTGCCCAGGTAAACAAAGTTATCTACTACCTCAATCGGTTCATCCACAAGCACGAGGCTAGGGTTCGAGCCCACCCAGTCTTGCAGTAGCACTTTACACTTTGCAGGTGTGAAGCGCATGCCGAACCTGGAGGCAGAATTATTTAGATTATTTAATATTGTGTGCATTACAACAGGATCAGATCCCAGGAGAGCTATGTCGTCTGCGTACTCGATATCTGTGAGCGGAGGCCCAGGGAGCACTTCGACCCCACAGGCATTAGAGGCTGGTAGTGCGCTTCCATGATCGTATCGATGGCGAAGTTGAAGAGGAAAGAGGACAGCCCTGTCGGACACCACTGGATGTGGTGAACTCAGGAGTGAACTTCCCGTATACCACTGTGTTGTCGAATGTGCTCTCTAGTCTTATCCTTCGAAGGTTGACTCAACACAGAGACAGGCAGATCCCTGGAAGCCAAGCTGGATTTCGTCTTGTAGGAGGACGTGTTGATCGCATTTTCACCCTTTCACAGATTCTGGAACAGCGACACTGTTTCCATGCCCAATTACGGTTTCCTTCCCTGAGTTGAAATGTGCCTTTGGCTCTGTGGACCCTCAAGCACTATGGCAATATTTGTGGAGCAATGGTGCCCTCTTCAATGCGCTGTACGCCAACTCAGGCGGATGTATGAAGGTCTACGGAAAGCTCTCGCCTGAGTTCATAACATCAGGCGGTGCCATACAAGACCATCCTCTTTCACCTTGCCTCTTCAACTTCGCCATTGATACTGTTATGGAACACTCGCTACCAGCCTCTAATGCCCGTGGAGTCAAAGTTCTCCCGGGGCGTCCGCTCAGAGATATCGAGTGGACAGAAGACATAGCTCTTCTTGGATCAGACGCCGTGGTAATGCAAATAACATTAAAAAATGTAACTAATTCTGCCTTGCGGTTCGGCACGCGCTTTGCACCTGTGAAGTGTAAAGTGCTACTGCAAAAGTGAGTAAGCTGGAACCTCAGCCTCATACTTGTGGATGACCCACTCGAAAAAGTAGACACGTTTGCCACCTGGGCAGTTGTATTACTTCCGGTGGTCTCGCGAAAGCTGATAATTTAATTAGCGTTGGGAAGGTAGAGCAGCTTTTATGAACCTTTATCACCTGTGATATAGGCGTGGCGTCATCTTATCCGTCAAGGGTCTAATTTACAATGCTGTGGTGTGTTGCATGTCATTATATGGGTCAAAAATCTGACCACTGCGTACTGAGCACTTTGAAAGACTTCCAGTGTTTGAGTTGACGTCTTCCAGTCATTGCCCGATTCTAGTGAGAGCACTGGATCATTACCGCTGGAGTACGTCAAATGGTTTTCGGAATGGCTTTTGCCCACGAATGATGAACTGATCACGCCCAATAGGTTTTTCTGGCTTGGTAGCGTGCTCCATATGCCAGTCAACCGAATTCCTCGAAGGGCTCTTTTTGCACAACCACGCGAAGGGTGGAGACGGGCTAGGAGAGTTCAAGTAGTGACTTACAGCTAATTATAAAACTCATTACCAGCATTCCAGCTGCGCTGGTCATTGCCATCTCCTTGGATGGGGATCACAAGACGGAACACATCATTGGTTAGAGGAGGCTAATCATGGCCCCTCATGCATGCAAGCTATTGCCTTCAATAAATAGCTCCCATTTCAGTATCTCCAATTAAAAGTCCACTGACAACAAGATATTTTCGCATCAATTATGGCAGCTATCACCTTCAATGTGTAGCTATCTACCCAACTCCCCAAACAAGCGGTGAGCGAAACTGTCACAGCAAGTGTGAGGTTTTACAGTTGATGATGACGGCCATGCTGTCAGTTTCTATCCAGATTGCCTGACCCGGTGCTGGAGGTGTAGGCACTTAGAGTCTTTGTGGTAGGCTAGCCCTAAGTCTTTCTTCACTTTTTTCTCCCGAATCTAAAGTTTTACGAGATAAATTGACATGGTTGTATGGCAGTGAAGCGCCAGTGTTGTCTGATTTTATCAGTGGTGGTGTTAATGATACTGGAATCGTCACCCATTGGTCAGTCAAGTCCTGAGGCCGCCATCGAGGGAGGCGTTAGTTTTTAACATAAACGACCTTACTTTTTAGGGCTTTCATGTCGTTGCCAGACCGTAAACTGCTCAGCCCTCGGTCGTTTCGACACAGTACAGCACAGGACTGGACAAAGAGGGTCCTGCGAGATAGGCGGTCCTCTGATAACTGAACACACGTATCCTAACGAGCATAACCTGTGGAGTGTGATTCGCTCGTCCATCGCAAGAGGTTTTCTCCCTACACCCACCCGACGTGTCTCAGCATTGCTAACCCGATTTTCCTGTTGATTCTGATGGGTTCAAAGTTCTGCATGGCGTCGCAAGACGGGTAAATTCAATGATGCCAGAGACCTTATTACGACGGGAGTCGAACTGACTCCACTGTTATTGGATTCACTTAGAGCACTCGTTTTGAAGATGGATGCTGTCAAAGGTTGACCCAGGTTTTCAGGGTCCGTTTCTTTCAACAAGATGGGCACAAATGGGTTAGATAGGTACTGACTGAGGATTTAACTGCCGTGCTTGAACTGAGCTGATGGAATCGCGTCGGGACCAGGGAGACGCTAGCTTTTGAGTATGTGCTTGAGTACTCCTGAGGCTGGAGATTTCCCTTCTCCACAGTCCATGCTTCTGTTAGTTGCTGACAGCCCGGATGGAAAGTAGTGGACGATCAACTTCAACAACATAAGCCTTTGCTGGATATAAGGACCATTTGCGTTCGTGACGGTTTGATTGACAAAAGGTCTCCGAGGTACTGTTGGGCGAGTCTGATGGGGCAAACCTGAGTGATGGCGAAAGTCGTGTTCATCAGATTTGTCCTCTACCCTTTTCCTATCTAGACCGGTAATCAACTAAGTTATCGATGGAGCCCTTGCTTTCTCTACTTTTTTATTCGTGAAAACTCTTTGGGAAACCCTTAAATCCTTGTGTATATAGATGGTATCGCGCCACCTGGTTCAAATTCCATACGGATAAAAATACACTGCTCCAAAAAGTCACTATGTGGATTGTAACTTGAAAGTAAAAATCCCTATTACAACGCTGGGTGAGTGCACAACTAAAGCTGGACGTGGCTTTGAAACCACGAGAATTAGTGGCCGATCTCCTCCTGATAGGTGTATTACATTGAAGGCCGCATTACTGACAAAGTGAATGTTAGGATCGCTAAAGCTCGTTCTTCCCTTTCAACTTGGGACACTCTAGATGATGTGACATTCGCTTATTGTCACTGCTGTTGTAGTCAAAGGAAGATAGCTTATGTTTGACCAACGATATATTTCCGCTTCCACCTGCTCCGTATGCTCTACCCACAGTACATCCACTGTTCTTGGTTTTCAAGCTCAGCTGAACTAAATTGGTGTTCCTTTGAGGTTCTACGCGTCGTCAATTATCACGGGCCATCGCCTTGAACACTGAACTTAATTCCCTATCAGCTCTTACTAAACTGCAGTGAATACTAATAACCGTTCGACCATGACACTAGCTAGCCTAGCTACCATGCCACGCGAATGAAACACGAGGACTAGGACACTGCTAAGTTTATCAAGCCTAGTCAGGAGCAACCGAGAGTGAGCTCGAACCACGGATCTTCTGGCCATAATCACTGAGCTATTTCTAGTTGCAATTAAGATAGCTTGTGTTCACGTTATTCTTTCTTAATGACAGTATTGTTATCCCGACTGGTTTGTTTCACCCCGATGCAGACGATTAACATAATTTTTGGCCAACATTCAGTGATACAATCATTTTGAGCACCACTGGTTTGTTTCTCTTCCTCGCACCCTTTTTCCACATCAGAGAACATGGTCAACCACAACCTTTTGAGCCTGTCCCTTGGAATGAATTTTTCAATATCAGAGACGATATTGAACTCGAAGTCGGAGTACGCATCCTGTTTGGTCTCACATCATTCTATCGTCTAGACGTTCCGGATTTATCGAAGGGGTGTTGAAGGACCACTGCTGTTTTTTATCCATGGCGGTGGGTTTTCCGCACTGACCTGGGCAGTGTTAAGTGTAAGTTGAGCCGCATGTCATTGCTTTGACTAATTACCTGAATTTCAGGCGACTATTACCGAGCAAGTAAAATGCCAGTGTCTGGCGGTCGACATGCGGGGTCACGGGGATACGGTTTGTCAGAACGATGATGATCTATCGATGGACACATTGGCCAAAGATGTGATCAAAATCATATTTGCCATGTATCCGACCGAAGCTCCTCCGATTATCCTTGTCGGTCACAGGTGCGTTTTTATTTATTGGACTTCTTGGTCTATCGCCTCTAGTACGCTGTAGTCTTTGATCAAGGTTATTGTAATTCATAAACGCAGGTAAGTGTCCCCTAGCGCGCCTCTACTGTCTGAAACTTGAAAATTTGGCCATGGGCGTCACTTGACCTTGTGTGGATGTGGTGCAATTCTTTCTACGAGGTCCATGTTTTTATAATTTGTGATATTTTATGATTACTTTGTTTGCACAAGAGTAGGCGAATGTCAGAGTAACCATGTTGTCTTTTCATCATTTCGCAGGCAGATGCTGCTTCTGGGTCATTTCATGCCTCTCAAGCTCGGAAGCTGTCTCTAATGAATTTTGCGTCCCCAGTAACCAAATTCCATAAGTTTTAGTTGTTGCCAATGCATCTAATAATAGTAGCGATATTAATAACCTATCGCCCTCATGCTCCCCACAGATTGCAGCTACTGCCTGATCGCTTCTTCTGAGGCACGTTCTGTTCGATACCTTGATTTTTCTGAAATTTTTTCCGTCCCACTACTTTTTTCCGTATTTACTGATCGGTAACCTTTTCAGACTGTCCAAACATGCTGACCTCCGGCACGGTCTCCATCCTCATGCTCAAAGGCAGATCTAAAATGTCTACAACAGACAACTGCAGACCAGTTTTCACATCGATGCTGGTTCACACAAATTGACTGAAGCTGTACTGACGCTTTCGAGGGTTACTACTCTAAACCGTCTTTTGGAATCTATGGTTACCGGTTTATAGGTTTTTTTTGGCCGATTGGGTCCTGATCCTAGCAGCCAACTCCACAGACAAACAGAGGCCCAAGCATTCAACAACCAACTCCATCGAGATAAATGAGGTCTTCATTTCAGCACTTTGACGGCGGTGTCAACCTCAACAGAGGTCTGAGTCAAGGACCCTGTTCACCATGGGTTTTACTAGGCGTTTATCCGAGTCGCTGTGGTTTATGGCTTTGGCTGTCACAGCTTCTGTCGTATTGTTGCTTTGGAGACTGAATTGACTCATTTTGTTCTTGAACATCTCGGAAACCCTCATCTTGCGGAGGTGTTCATCTCACAGGTCAGGTCCTGGCCTGTCCGAACAGAACAGTACAACTAGCAGCCTGATAGACCTGGACTTTCGATGCTGAGTTTAATGCCAAATCATAACACAGTCGGTTCCCCTGGGTTGAGTGACCAATGCGTGTCAAACATAGCATTCGGAAGCTCGCATAATTCACACATTTTATGCAAGGGTCATGTTTTTGTCTTTGTTAATCTAAGTAAACCGTACTCAATATCGGGTGGCTCACCCGAGTGATAACTCGCCACACACAAATTTGAGGATTGTTTGGCATAGCCTACGTCGGACGGATCGCTCTTGCGTGCATACTTTGGCTGAACGCAGCGTATCAGTTGATATTCCCAAAATCTGCATACAGCCTGGATACCGTATAAGCTGTGCACACCAACCAATTTGCGGACATTCATTTCAAGCTGTGGCACAAAATCGTGAGCTCCTCATCTTTGTCGTACGCACTTACATTCATATGATGGCGCACGTAGGCGTGCATTCCAATCTCGAGGTTTGTGTGGATGTGACGGACGGGGGACAGTTGGAACGGCTGTGTGGGTGTGAGCTTGCCAATTTGGTAGCCAGTGCAGATCGTCGTATATGCATCAAGGGAGCCCGTTGGAATTGAGTTGTCGAACTCGAATGGTCACCTCTCAAAGCGGATTTGCACATTCCGCTAAACAAGCACCTACAGGGTACAGGCGGGCGATAGCTTTTGTTTCGCCCGGAATTCAGCAATAGGCCAAGGGTAGGTACTTCTGTTAGCCTCAAGTGCACTGACTAAATCGCGTCTATCTGTCTTTCATCAACCTTGAGCCTTTTTGTACGGTTTTCGCACCGAGATGATTGCATAGCACTTACCAACACCAGCACTGTCATCAACAGACCTTGATTAGCCGTACACCGAATATGAGGGATTGCTCATTCTGCGTAGTGGGTAAACCAGTGCGCGAATGAGTGATCGAGGAGCAGCCGTACCGTGGCCTTTGATCGCGCCTTAGAAATACTTAAAGTGATAAGAAAGCACTCATTTCGAAGTAGCAACTTTAAAGGAACCCTGGTCTAGGATATCTTCAGAATGTGCTCTGGTGTATAGATTATTTACCCACACTTCATTAGATCCTGCTTGATGCACGGAAGTCATCCATGAACAAAATCAACGTATGACCTTGTCCACATCAAGTGGGAGCCACCAAAGCTGTATGACCCAACTTTTCGACTCATCTGCTTACCAATTTGGTTTTGATGAGATTCTCACCTGGGACCCAGCTGAATCTCTCGTTTATAATGGTCCCCAAAGAGGGTAAAACAGGTCAAAGAGTTTTCAGCAACCTTGAAGCGGCTCCAGATATGTGTAAGTTGGACTGCTTTCGGCTGACAGGATTGGCGACATTGAATGCAATGATGACATTGTTAGCTCTAGCTTCCAAAAGAACAGTGTGTTTTGCGCTTTCGAACTTCGAAATCTGACGTTTCACTATGGAACAAGAATATTCTGACTCCACGCAATGCCTCTATGGTCTCATTTGTCGACAACCCTACCATATTTGGAATCGTTATATGTTGCTTTTCTCATACTGAAACAGGTCACTTGCAGGATAATCAAAGCCACCCTTGTCGCATCACCCCCTAACCATATCTCGAAGGGATTTTAGGCCGCCAATCAAAGATGAGTATTGGTATGTGTGTGGGGGGGGGAGGTCAGTCAGTCAATATGCTTCGAAAGAATTGCAGGATAGTTCGCGGTTTTTTTACTGCACTATTGCCTTCGCCAGCTGGCTTCTGGTAAGCCAACGGATCAGGTGAACACTGCAGACGTGCACGAGGGTAATTGATCAGATCCGCGATCCTTGAAAGACTAGTTTCCACGACCAACCGCATTTGAATCGTTCAATCACCGGGCAATGAAGCCCGAATCATTTGTATAAGGAGACGGGTCATACGTAGCGGCTACTTTTTCCTCGGGACGCCCGGACCTTTCTCGTAGGAGGAGACACCTTGAGAAATCTTATTTCCTGCAATACGCACAGTTTTGGGACCGGGGAGTTTCACTCTCTTGTAGACTCTACTACGAGTGCTATCTTCTGATGGGGGGACGCTATATTTACGTTACCAGTGGTGATGTATTATGGCATGTTAGTGCTTTGTTGTGCAGACGAGTTGGCTTGTGTGATTGATTTCGTTGCTTTCTTGCTTTGCGGTCTCCCTTAGTGAGCCTTCCCCTGGCAGAATAGCATGTTGTAACGGATAGATCGTTTTAGTCCCACACGTATACTCCGAAGGATCCGGAGGTTTCGTGGGAATGTGTGAGTGACTATTTGTCTTTTTCTTTTGTATCCCGCTTTCTTGGATCTGTCAGGCGAGATGGCTTAAGTGGTTAGAGCGCGAATTTACTGACCGGAAGGTCCGTGGTTCGAATCCGACCTCCGCCACTCGACTTCCCCTGTCTAGGCTTGGGCAACCTGGCAGTATCCCAGCCCTCGTGCTTCCTTCGGGTGGCATGGCAGTTAGGCACCGGAAGGGTGCTACAGCTGAACGCTCTCTTTTGGCCCCACATCCAGCCCACTATAATGATCTTTGTGTTATTCCTCCCATGGGGACACTGACCTCTCAGATGGATTATGTGGAGTCCTAACTGTCTTATTCCTTTTTCTTGATTGTGTCTAGCGTCTGTTCGGTCTATTTCGAACTTAAAGCAACGAGTTACGCTTCGCTCTACGCACAGGTTTGTCTCGTGATCATTCGTTGATTTCAAAAAAAATCCTGATCATAATCTCGATATTCCTGCTGATGTTCTCTGAATTACCAAACATGTCCTCTATGCCCGATATTGCTGCCTCCATCACTTTGCTATTTTTCTGCCCCCCCTTATTTCAGTATGGGTGGAGCTGTTGCAGTACACGTGGCCCACAAACGTACCATTCCATCCCTTGCTGGTCTGGTTGTGATCGACGTAGTTGAAGGTAAGTAGAACTTTTGTGCACTCTTCACTGATCAGCACATGCATATTTGTTACCACAATTACACCTCCCCGCGCCGTCTTTTTCAGCTCAGTGACGTTTCATCCACCGAAAGTGCGCATCTTCTTCGTCGCCCACTTTTCTTAACTAGCACTTGTGAATAATGATGCCAGGGAATTCCTCCTGGTTTGGTCAGATGAGTCGACGGGAAATTCACTTGTAGTAGTAGTGTTGGATACAACTGTTCTGTCTTGTGTCACCAAGTGTCAGCGAATATTTTTTTCGTGCCAAATTCAGATACAGTAGTAAATCAGGGAGATCACAAAAGTTCTGTATACTGTTGGTATAATTTTCCCTTCTGGATGAGGGCTGTATGACCTTTCGTGTGCTTAATTGGATATAGTTCGAGGTATTGACACGAGCTAATATCATGCTATCATTTTTTACCCAAATTGTTTTGGTGTGTGAACTTCGAGTGTTTATGGTTGATAGTAATACGGTCCTCTTTCATTTTTTGTTCCCATCCCGTGTATTGAAATATGTTGACGCGACTTACGGAGTCGTACTCTAGTACTATTATCAATAATGATTCTTCTATCGTGCGAGATTTCATAAATATCTACTTATCGGCTTCAAGTTAGCGCTCTGGGCTGTTGCAACTTTTGCTTGTTGTGGTGGGATATGGTGTAGCATAATATAGTTCATCTATTAAGTAGCTATAGTTGGACTGTCCTTGGTCCACTCCATGATGTCGTCTTTGCCGTTATCATGTGCAGCTGTCTAGGCTTGGGGGCAACCTGGCACTATCCCAGCCCTTGTGCCTCTTTCCGTTGGCATGGTAGCTAGGCACCGGAAGGCTACTACAGCTGAACGATCTAAAAGGGCGGTTACCATTGCAGGTTGATGGTGCTAAATCCTGTCGAAGTCACTGGTGGCCAACTAAATATAGGGCTAAGTTAATAATTGAATCAAACCTCCTTGTGAGTTCTAGAGATGTACATTGCTAATAGTTCACAACAAGAATGAAGCGCCTGTCCGTTTTCCAGCATAGACGGACTTCACTTTCAGGATCAAATTCCAAAACGCCAAACGCTTCGTTGTATAGGAGGGGCGTATTTAGGGGCGAATGGTCCTTTGTATCCTTATTGAGGAACTCCATTCGCTGCCTTCTGCTGGTGTTCCACTAAAGTGAAAGGACAATGGCTGATATCAGGCGCTCTATGTTGGCAATCTAGCAAGAAATTAAATCAGTTCCGTTAGGTTGGGGTGAGTAAGATTACATTAATAATCTAGCGGCCGTGATGGGTGTTGCTGTTTATCCGTTTTCTGAAAGTTCCCAAGTCGCACTTGTTTGTGCACAAGCGGGAGCCCATGCTTAGTGATAATGAGGACATCAATTGCATCAAACTCCGGCAAATCATTGTGAATGTGAACGTGTTCAATCTACGGCTTACCTGGTATTCCAAAAGGTTGTGGTATCCAGCTTGCCTGTCGAGTTGTTAATATCAGGGACAACTCTTCATTGTTTGCTGGAACGTTAGAGCCCTACTTTGTTTCCAGCTAGTGGGACACCATGCGGACTGTGTATGGCTACCCTCTTCAAAGAAGACAGAGCTCTTGTAACTTGCGTGGCTGAACTTCTTTGTGTAGTTGAGGGCGGATAAAAAAAAACCCCTGGTTGTTCGTCCGAACGCCAGGAGAGTAAGATTCGTGAAAACCGAGCTGAGCTCCTGGGAACATGAACCACATCTTCACCCTCGTCGTCACAACTTTCAACGAACAACAATGATATTCCCTCCTGGCGTAAATACTATCTTCGACTCAGCTAATTATCGGGCACTGTGTTAGTGTTTGTCGGTGAACGGCGTCTCAACTAAAATCTTCTCTCCACTAAGTCTCGTAGTCGAGTAAAGGTCCGGGGTAGGCTTTGAAACGTCAAAGCTCAAATCCCTGTATAACTACAGACACTACCCTCGAAAGCTATTTCTTGTAACTACTTGAAGCCGCCCGTATGTGAGAAGAACACGTTTCGAATGAACGAAATCGACCAAAGTTTAGTGACACCTTAGTCCCATTGAAAATCAGTGATTGATGGTCAAAAAGCGAATTTCGTTGAAAAACAACACCAAGTATGGCCACATGATACTGTCATCTGACTGTTTGAACTCATAAGCTCTAGGGCTTTCATGAAAGATTCATATATCAATAGCTTCTACGGTTGTCAACATCCTTGTTCTTATTGACTTTGTTAGCCTAGGTGGTACGTCGTAGGTTGGTGTAAAAGCTGTCACACGTGGTGTCCACGTGGCGCCCTTTTGCCCAGTATATAGGCTAAAACTAAACCATTCGCGATGTGTTTCTGTTCTTTCTGGGGATTATTTGGGTGGTGTTCAGACATACCTTCAGACAGCCGACGCGTTGTTCGACCAATAGTTATGTGCCTGTCGAAGTTGTCCGACGAGCAAGTTCGTTTTTTCAGATCTTGTCTAACCAGTAGTCAGGATGTGGAGTGTGTGTGTGTGTGTGTGTGTGTGTGGATGGACTGCGAATACAGTTATCTTTCAGTGCGTCCAGGTACACTCTACTCATGTCTTTTTGACATCAGGTAGGACGCCAATAAGTGGACGTAATTGGAGCCCATTGGCTTCACCTGACTTCAGCAAGGCCAATTTCGTCAGACCCGTTGCAGTTGCTAAGATGCGTAAAACTGTCATCACATGCTACGCCATGTTCAGGTGGCCCCTTTGTTATATGAAGATCTTATCGAACGTTGAAGTTTTATCCAGAACACTTCTTTGGGGTTCTTTCTCACTTTGGACTACTCTGACGTAAGTATACCCGAGGGACGCTCAGAAATTAGGTACAGTATTCCTCCATCAAAATAAAGGCCTTTCATAAAAGGGGTCACCTCCGTGGAAAGTCCCAAACAGTATCCCGTGTCATCCACGACTTGTGACAATCTCCAGACGAGGGGGCATTTGCGTAGAATACGTCTCCCCTTATTGTACTCTCTCTTGGCGTACCGTACCCGAAAAAACTACACCCTATAAGCGGTTTTCTCTGTTCGGTTCCTTTAAGCCTGTCACTGCAGGAGGGGACTACCATGTACGATGGATCGATATTAGTTGGCAGATATGGGTGTTTGATTCGCAATAAATAGGATTTGAAGATGTATACTCGAATGTGTTTGACAAATCGATCAACGAGAGGAAATGTTTGCATATTTGAGATCAAGCTCGTTAATTCCCTGCTTGCTCTTTGTTCCACTTTTCCTAAGGACTGTGACAATTGTTGTTTCTAGGGGTCTCCAGGCAGTTGCGGTATGCTTCAAGTAGCAGAACGATGGCGAAGTCTTACTTCGTCTAGCCAATGTTGCTTGAGACCGTGGGTCCATCTGAACAGTTTCGGGAAAGTGGCTTTACAGAACTTCCATTCTCTGAGCCGTACGTGAGCATAGCTTCCTTGCTAGCTGTTTCAACCATGGGGTGTTTGCCAATTTTCTCATTTCCAGATTCAATAGTCCTTCCCATGTAAAGACTACTGTTGGAAGACGCAAAAATAAAAGGTCATCTTCGTTGATGATGTTGGTGATAACTACTTAGTTGGACTCACGTGCCTTATGTTGAGGAGTTTTACGGTTGGGTTGGGAGCATTGTACGCACGGTTATAGTCATGTGGATAAGTCGTGATGATGTTCAAGGTCACTTTGTACACAAATGTGCTTTTGAATTGCTACTAAACAATACAATCAAATATTGCGGTCTGTTGCGGTCTCTGTTGCGAACACACGGTACTTTGCTAAACTATGCCATGATGTCTACGAAAGTAGCCAACTTTAGAAATGCGTCAATCACAATCATTGACTCTAATTCCGGTTTTTAATGCCTTTCGAGTGATATCTCTGGAGTGATGTTCTGTGCAATAGAATGGCTGTCTTCCATTATGATGGCGATTTTTGTAAACGATACACGTGGTCATGATAAGGAGTGTATTAAGGTTTCTCACATTTTCACTGTCCCAGCTTTAATTTTTTTATTGTCATTTGCCCAAAGATTGTTTTTAACTATTATTAATTAGTGGCAGTAATTAGAAGTAATATGTCCAATCAGCCGAGAAAATTTAGTTTCCGTAAGTAAAAGCACCCTTGCTTAAAACTATTCAGTCCGTTCACCGCTCTTTGAGGCGACTGCTGTGCTTTCTTCCGAAACCCATATGAGTTCACTTCAAATTCAACTCTGGCAGTAGTATTCCTCGAACGATCACTGTGTTGGGTTATTTGGTCGCAAGGCTCTAAACAGTTGACATGCCTCCTTGCTATTCTCACGTGCTTCTTCAATATCTCTGAAATACGTATATTAACATCCCAACTTTTCGCATTGCGGTAGTTTGATCTGTCGAGTACGACGCAACCAATATGACTCGATCGCGGTCATCATCTGTGACGGATTCGTGTTGTCACCCCATAGTCCCCATCATAGAGCTATGACGTTACGTAGGGTGGATTCCGAAGCCCGCGATGTTCCAGCGTAAATTCGATATTCCCGTGAGCAATACGCCACAGTTAGGGCTCCAGACAAATAGCGCATTAGTCTCACTAGCCATGCGGGGGAATGTCAGCGTCCTTTACGCCTTTTGTTGATGATACATGTGTGCGTTTCAAGGAGAGAGATGACAGCTTGTTCGAAAGTATGTGCTACTGTTCGAACCCCGGAAGTAGAAACTCAATTTTCTGATATTATCCACACTTCTGCCGAAGCCAAATGACGAGGAACAAAGTGTAATCTGTATGGGCTATTGAGCCCCTTCGAGGTTTTCACTGAAAAGACAATGGTTAATCAACAATAACGCAATAGCCGCGAGTTGCAAACGAAAGCTTGTCACCTGCGATCGACTGTGTCCAACTGGCTTACGACATTGGTGACGTTGTCCCAGGCTCTGTCAAGACATACCATCCCTTGGTGACTCTTGCAACGGTGTTTCGTCTACTTTGATCGTGTGACTGA